ACAATCTTCATGCAACTTCAACTGCTAACTGCTCCTTCTTCAACTACCAACTGCTCCTTCATACTTTCACTCAGAAACCTCATTCCAACTTTAAAATGTCACACATCTTTCTGACATTATTTGTGTAACACAACTTTTAAATCTGATTTGTACTTTTAGAGATATTAAACATTGTTCAGACCTTGGTAAAGAGGCCTACTTCAGATTTTAGAGTTCGTGATGTCACAGCTAGAGTGGAGGACAGATTTAATTTTGCCTTCATATTTTCTTTTAAACCTGCCGTAATTCCAAAACCCTACATTCCTGAGACATATTTTTTGATGACAAGCGTAGGAAAACATCTCGTAGCTTGAAAAATAAAAAAAAATTAAGCAAAATAATTAAACAAAATGCCTCTTGAGGGCATGAAGTGACAAAAACTTTCAACATGCCTCCATTAAACCCCATTGTAAATTCAGCCTCACCTTTCCCCACCACAGCAGCTGCACCCCNAAAAAAAATTAAGCAAAATAATTAAACAAAATGCCTCTTGAGGGCATGAAGTGACAACAACTTTCAACATGTCTCCATTAAACCCCGTTGAAAGTTCAGCCTCATCGATCCCCACCACAGCAGCCGCACTGCACCTTTAGTTAATCTGCCAAAAAGGCCACATTATTAACCTGAAAGTACACAAAAAGTACACTTCAGATGCTCAAGTTCCTTGACATGCTTCACGCTTTGAAATTTCATCGATATCTGTTACGGTTCTTCAACAAAACGTTCACATGTAAGAGGTTTATCTCTCATTCAGAACAATGCAAATGCTCTCCTCTCACTGATTACTGCACATCACCATGAAAACCTTTGATCTCTGGACATGTCGTTAGCTCAAATATAAACACCTGTGTCATGGAACACGGTGATGTCATAACTCCAACTGACATGCTCAGAGCAGCAGACTTCAGATAATGGTTAATGGTCCTGCCCTCAACAGCTCTACGTCAATTATGGGGTGTCATCATATGCCGTTTCCATGGAAACGCATCCCTCGCCATAAAAGACGATGTCGCTATACATTAACTCCTATGAAAATGTTGAAAAAGTGCTCAAACTTCACATGTGTGCTAACAGTCCAGCCGTAAAGACATCTACGGGACAGTTTTGAGATTTCTTCAAATGCCGTTGCCATGGCAACACAATCTCGCCGTGAAACACGGTTTTCTCATAACTTCAGTAAAAATCTAAATTCTTCACTTTCTTCTTACATATTACATTTCAGAATAGCAATTTAGCGTCAGCTTTTCAGCATAAAGCATTCCCACAAGTAAATTCTTCAGGAATTGCATTCTCTAGTTACTTTAATCTCTGCTTTGTGTTTGCACAAATGGGCAATTTATTTCTAATTTTAGAGTGCTGGTGTTCCTTGCGATGAGAAAAACTAAATGGCCTTCAGAATAGGAATCACGATCACTGATTAAAATGAGGGAGTTTTGTTTTATGCTTTGTGAAGGCATTGGATGACTGCTATGTTTGTTGTGTTTGTGAACTTCTTTTCCTGTCTCGATTGATTTTGTATTGGCATTTCACAAACCAGACGGCCTTATTGATCTGTCTTTGGCCAATAATAAAACACAATCCCCATTTTCTGCAATGAATGTTTAAAAACACAAAAGCTTGTCAGTGTGGGTGATTCCAGGTTTCAAAAGCTCTGTGTTTAAATAAATTAGGGCATCCAAGCTTGATTTTGGCCCTAATATTACATTTGATGCCCGTCCATTGCTTGTAACATTTCTTTAAGGCTATTGCATGAAGGCTAACCATTTGATTTTGGTTCATTGTGAAGAAAACTACTAAAAACTAAATTGCAGTCAAATTCAACCAGTCTTCATAAAACATTGTTAAACACATCAAGAAGTATTCCTATAAATTGATCAGTTGAAAAAATCTATGATATTACATTTTTTACCAATTACTTCCCAAATCTGGATAAACAACTCTTTAATTCTGTATTACCGGTAGTTCTATACTTTCCCAGGAAAAATGTTATTAACATACTAAATAAACAAAGACTAATGAGCAAAAAGACTAACAGCCAACTATTTGTGGTATGTTGAGTCAGGTGCTCTGTGGGAAGGATTTATTCCTCCTGCACTCTGCTGTTAGCACATGAGGGGTCACATGTATTGCAGCCTGAGCAGACATGAGACAACAGCAGTGGGAAAACCACCAATCCCCTTTGTATTAGAAAACACACTCACGCCGTCTTAGGAGTCAAGCTTTATCTTTCTGTAGACATATATATGTGTACATGTGCCTTCTCTCTATAAGATATAATACATAACATGAGTGCTTAATGATTATTTAAAATTAGTTTATCAAAATTACTGCATACATTTAGTTACAATAATTCCAAAGAAAAAGGAACGGTTAAATATATTGGGAAAGAGACAAATAAAAGGTAGTCACTGTAAATGATTAAACATATAACTTACCTTTCCACTTTTTAAAAGAGAGTTTCATCCAATTCTTATAACTTTTTATTTGATCATAAACCTCCCAAAATAATATATGTATTTCTTCTTTTGAGTAGTTTACATTTTCTAAATCCTAAACATCCTTGTGTTGACTTTTGTTTTAGTAAAGTGAACTTCCTGACCGACAATGCTCAAGGCGGCCTCTTCTGTAGCAACTACACTTTATTTATTATTTTACTTTTAATGCTTATTAATTTTGACAAATATACAAGTCTACAACATCTCTCTGCTTCACAGTAGAATGATTTAACTGTGTTTTTCTTACAAATTTTTATTTTTCAGCTCTGCAGAACATGAACTGAGGGAATCAGAATAACATGAATCCTTTACTGTGATGTATCAATGACACCTTCAAGATGTATTGATGTAACTTGCTTTGTGTTACTTAAATATGCCTTAATTGGGATTCTTTATAAATGTTATTCATGTGTGGAGTATAAACAAGGGAGAAGAGAAAATTATTTTTACTCAACAATGTTAACATTTAATATGGAAATATTTTAAATTTCAAATCAGTTCCAGGATCAAACCACTCTTTCCTTGTTTCCTTACTCTTGTCTTCTTCTGAAAGAAACTTTGTGATGAGTAACATGAGCCGAGCACGGGTGTGTCTGTCTTACTGCAATCCCATATTCCTAGAGCTGCAGCAGCCTGAGGTGGACAGCAGGATGCGGAGGAATGGTTGAGGAAATAAAAGGAAGCTATTGATTTTCCACCCACCCACTCCTCTTGTGACGCTCGTATACACATCGCTCTAAGGTCATACGTCAAAAACACACATGACTCGAGCCTTGCTTACAGCTCTCACCGTCGGTCCTTTTTGTTCTGCACGTACAACATTTTCATTCACACCGTGCAAAAAGCATTCATTGATTTTCCATTATTACACTCAGAAAATGTTGTACTGCTTGAGGGATATCTGTTACTTTGGGTTCATGTCAATTATCTTCTTTCGCTATACCGAGTTTTTTGCATTAAGCAACTGTACAATTTCACATTTATCATGGGTAGAAATTGTAATTCACCTTGAACGCAAAAAACACACATTACAGATTAAGTAAAAAAAGTGTATGCTCAGATACAGAAAGTGTACTAAAACAGATGATAATGTGAAATCTTTGAGTAACACATCAATTCTCCAACAAAACAGAAGTTATCAAAACAGTACTTATCTGTTCTTACCAAAGAGGGTGGTGCCAGTCTCAGGCTCCCCATGATGTCAGAGGTTATGGAGAAACGTTATGGTAATTCGGTTCTGAGGCCCTCTTAAAGAGAGGGAGAGGACATTTCTTAAGTCTCTTTGGAAGTTGTGTTGGGTTCAGGACTGCAGGGTGAGGCTCAGAGAGAGGAGACAGACGACCAGATTCAGGATGAGGACTCTGTCACTGGTGCTGCTGGTTTCAGCTTTTACATTTGCCACTGCAACAAGTGAGTACATCTGTTTCCCATGTCATTATATTTTCATAGTGCCACTTCATTGAACGTTTCTAAATTAACAAAAGAATAACAACATTAAGAGAAACGGGATAGTTTTGTTCTGTTTACCATCATAGTTTCTCTGACTGTGTTCAAATATACACACCAAGCAAAGCCTTGTTTGTGTAGAGTTACTTTTCACCTTTCATAGAACTAAATGTGCTGTAGTTTCAAGTAATAATAGTAAATAAAGTAAAAATAAAACCATAAAAACAGTAAAAGAAACAAAACAAAGTTTGAAAACTAAGTCTAAATTAATTGAGTTGCTGCTGTGTCTGATGTAAGACCATTTCTCAAACACAATTCAGCACCAGGGAAAGCGGAACATTTTAATTAAATCTAACCAAAACATCCTGCGTTCCCATCAATTACACACTAGAATATCTCTTTGTTTGGACTGTGAATCGAAGAGCAAATACATTTCACGCTCATGTTATGCTGTCTGGGTTGCGAGGAAAGATGTGCAAACCTTTACATGCCAATATCACGCTGGTTTTTATGCCTATTTATATTTAGTACTGCAGGCTTTAAATATATTTAATAGTGTCTTTGATTAAAAAACATAGTTCATTAACCACTTTTCTTTTCACACTAATACTTAAAAAAAAAAACGTTATTCCATTGGGTTGTACTTTGTAGTTTAATGCAAAACATTTTCACACACACACACACACACACACACACACACACACACACACACACACACACACACACACACACACACACACACACACACACACACACACTAAGGAAAACCGCAGTGAGCCAGTTGTCTGGGATCCCTCATTCCTCTCTGGGATTACTGGTGCTGCTGCTCAGCTGATAGTCACATGAAAGGGATTGAGGGGGATTGCAGGTCGTGTGACTCCCACCACCAAGAACCCCAACACCCCCCACCTCTCCTCCAAACACACAGACCTGCTCGTTACATAAGCATCATGAATAAAACCTGCTTATTCCATATATTCTCTATCATTTTTGTTGGTTGTTGATGATATTTAAGAGAATAATAACATTTTTAATTGAACTTTATTTTACATTTTTATTTGCACAGAGATTCAAGTAGTTCAATTAGTATCAAGCCATTTGTTGGTGCCGTTAACTACTGAAACTACTGGACAGTTTGGGCCATAAACGGAAAGCAAATCATGTTCCTCAATGAGTGATATCTTTAGCTGGCATGTACATTTTCTGGGTTGTATCTTATATAAACATTTCTTGTTTTACAAATTAGTTTGAACTGTGTTTCCTAAGAAGCTTTTAGTTTTGCTTAGAGTAGCTTTGCTCTAGTTCAAGTATCCTGTGTGGAGTAATCGGTGGCTAGCAAAGCCAGGCTTTTGAAATAGTTTCGCAAACACTGTGAGTTGCAAGATGTGGCCTCTTTTCCTGAAAGAGTTTGTGATATTTCTTCCAGAGCCTAGAAGTCAGTTCACGCGTTACCGCTCATGGAACTCGCGGATGTATCCGGTGTGGAAAGATGGAGACCCGAGGTTCAGGAACTGTTGGTTTGGTGAGGCCTTTGTTCTTTATTTCTCAAAACAGAAATGTTGCAACATTTTCTCTGCCATCCCATCTAAAGATGATACATTGTATGTAATCCTAATTTCCAGGTGGTGATGTAACTTTTGAACTGAAAAACGATGCACCCACTCTGACTGGAGCAGGAGCAACCTTCAACATTAATCTGAACTTCCCACCAAACCAGACCATGCTCTCTGACGGGCAGGTGGTCTGGGCGCAAAACTGCACCATCAATGGTAAGAAAAACCCATTCCAGCTAGAAACTAATTGTGATATAATAATTGAATTATTTTAATTCATGCTCAAAACCACAAGATCATTTTAACAGACATTTCACTAACATTGATCAAGTCATGAAACGTTTCGACATGGTGTTGTTTCTACAGAAATGTCATTATTTTTGGTCTTTTCACATTTAGAAATTGGTATGATTTCTTTCAGCTGCTAGGGGATACTTGATTTTTAAAAAGTGGCGACATATTAGCTCATAGATCAAAACTAGTTTTTGTTTTAGTTATATGAAATATATTGTTAAAATATACAAATTGAGCATTATATAAAAATGTTTGTGTAAGTATGGAAAGCACCTCAATGTGTCTGACAGAAGAAGGGTTATGTAAGTGTAATCCTCTATAGTGTCTTGCCTTAAATAATTAATGTTGTCTGTGAGTGACTATTGTCAATTAATCCTAGCCATAAAGCAAAGTGCTTTTGAAGTTTTATTTCATTCGGAAAAGACAACATCCTCTCCCAACTAATATTCCCCCTGTGTTGACTCATGTTGACATGCAGTGTTATAGATGATCACGCCTCTTATATTACTGATTATGTATCTATGACCTAATCTTTTTCAGGACGAGAGTACCAGGAGGGTCAGTCTGTCTATCCGGACCAGGACACCCAGACCACCGGAGTTTTCCCTGACGGCACACCTTTCAGGAGTCAAAACAAGAAGCCCCACTATGTGTTTGTGTGGAAGACATTGGGTAAATATATTCATGTTATAATAAGTTAAGTCTGTTAAGAACCAAGGCTGCACTTTAGCTGTAATTTATGCCGCAGTAGAACATCCCAAACTTTCAAATGAAGCTATAACTACATCACATTAACATAAATATCCAGAGACAAAGAGCAGACAATAAAAGGGCTGTAAAGAATACAGGGGATGTTTCTGCTCAGGCAGGGAATTTAAATGTATACATTTGTCCCGGGTATTGCTTGTACAAAGCCTTGTCTGTGCTTATCTCTGACATCAACTTTACATTAGAAAACAAAACCTTAAAAAACAGTTTTCAAAGGAAGTACTTTTGTTAATTTATGCAGGATTTAATCAGTATCATCTTCATTTTTGCACAGTAGCTTCAGTTTATCATTTCTACTGTAGATCACCAGGCTTACCCGGTTTGGTAAACATTTTATGAAGTTTAATTTATTCATTCAGTCAATAGCAGAGCTCCTAATCGACCAAGAAGAGGCCAACTTGTTCACAAATTTGATTAAAAGCTTTCAAGTATTTTTTTATACAAAAATATTATCCTCAGCAGAATTAAAAAATGAACAACTAAAATATAATCTGTTGGTCTTTCACAACAAATGAAAAACAGGCCTTTTTTGAGTCTGTTAAAATAGCCTCTCATGTACTCCTGATGAAAGTGAAATCTGGAATGTCTCCACAATGTGTGAATTTATTAAATGTTGCACGATGAACGGACCACTCTAAGTAATCATAATGTTCCTCTATCCAAGGGCGTTACTGGCAGGTGGCAGATGGACCGTCCTCCTCCCTCTCTATCGGCACCGACAACGTCCCTCTGGGCTCGTACAACATGGAGGTTATCATCTATCACTGCCGTGGCAAAGACAAGTTCATTCCTCTCGGCTATGCCTCCACGGTCTTCACCATCACAGGTGACCTATCTTACAATTTAAAACTACATTTGATAACAAATATTCTACAAGATATGTTTTCTTTATTCATCATTACGTTTCTGTTATTGAAGTCGATAATAAAGAGTTGTTCTACATCTTTTACTCCGTCATTAGACCAGATTCCCTTCACCATCTCACTTGCCCAAATCAATGATGTAAACCAGAACGACCAGAACTTCATCCAGAACCGAGCCATTGCCTTCACTGTCAAGCTCCATGACCCCAGCCAGTACCTCAACAGCGCCGACGTCAGCTTCACCTGGGACTTTGGTGACAGCACCGGTACTCTGATCTCCAGAGAGCTCACTGTCACACACACATATCTCGCAGCCGGGACCTTCAAACCTCAGGTGGTCCTGATGGCAAGCATCTCCAATGGCTGCGGATCCCCCACTGCTGGTGAGATTTAACTATTGATTACCTTTTATCTTCCAGGAATACATACTCTATGTACAGAAGTATGACATACATTTTGCTTAGTTGTTTTAAAGGGGATATATTATGCTGATGTTCAGCTTTGTACTTTAATTTAAAACTCAATGGGTATTTCACATTATTTGGGGTAATTGGCACTCCAGATACACAAACATATTTGCACAAGCAGTAAACATGTTTTAATTATCTGTTCTGCTCTAAATGTTTATTTCAGTTGTTCCTATTGATGCCTCTGCGATACCAGCAGTAGTTGTGGTGCCCTCCACCGCTGAAGCTGTCCCAGCAGTAACAGCAGAGGGAGGAGATGTGATTGCTCTTGATGTTCCTTCCTCTGCGCAGCCAGCTGAAGCAGCAGAGGGAGATGCAGTCGCTGATACAGACGCAGAAGCAGTGGAGGTTGCCTCAGTTGCACCTGCAGTTGACGCAGCAGTCCTTCCAGAGGACACTGCTGCCGCTGATGAAGATGCAGATGTTGCAGCTGAAGATGCAGAAGCAGCAGGTGAGGAGGCTACTGTAGCCCCTGTCACACCTGCAGCTGAAGAGACAGCAGCTGCTGTAGATGCTGATGCAGCTGCTGCAGATGCAGTTGTTGCAGATACAAATGCAGCTGTTGCAGATGCAGCTGTTATAGATGCAGTTGTTGCAGATGAAACAGCAGTGTTAACAGACACAACTGAAGAAGATGCGGCTCTGATCAACGCTGCTGCTTCAGTTGCACCTGTTGCAGAGGGAGAAGAAGCTGCAGTGGATGCTGCAGCCGCTCTTACTGTTGCTCCTGCAACAGAAGTAGTTGAGCAGGAAGCTGACGTTGTGGCTGCTGATGCTGCGGTTGATGCTGATGTTGCTGCTGCTGCTGCTACTGAGGCTACTGTTGCTGTAGATGCTGCTACTGATGCTGCTGCTGTAGATGTTGCTGCCGAGGCGACTGTTGCTGCCGATGTCGTTGTTGCTGTCGATGCTGCTGTTATCGATGATGCTGCTGTTATTTCTGCCGCAGACGTTGTTGCAGCTGAAACAGAAGTTCCTGCTGATAATGTTGTAGCTCCTGCTGCCACTGAGACCCCAATCGTAGAAGAGGCAGCACCAGCTGCTGATAATGAGGCTGAAGTACAGGCAACTGAGAACGAAGTTGCAGCTACTGCAGCTCCTGAAGGTGAGTGTTTACTACAAACTAATATTACTTTACAAAAAATTAAAAAATCATTATTTTAACAAAAGTATTATGATAACATTTATATTGCAAACAGCAGGTGATGAAGCGGTCGTTGCAGCTGAAGCTGAGGTTCAAACAGAGGCGGAAATAGATCCAGCACTGGTTCCCATCATTTTAGCTAAGAGACAAGCACCAGAGCTGACAGAAGACTGCACGGTCTACCGTTATGGCTCCCTCGCCACATCCGTAGAGGTGATCCGTAAGTCAATATAGTTTTGTAACCATGACACTTTGAACTTCAACATAATATTCTGCTTTACACAGCATGATTTAATCATTTTATATCTATCTTTCCAACATTTTCAACTCTGCAGAGGGTATTGAAAGTGTAGAGATTGTACAGATGACCAACGTGGTAGCAATGGCGACCGAGTTGGATCAAAACGCTGTGGACATCACCATCTCCTGCCAGGGAAGGTGAGCAGTAACATTATCATCTCTATACAGAGTGCTTCTGAAATGAGTGCTAAAACACAGACATTTGTCAGGCTGTATGGACATCCTGTTTCCTAGTCTTGAGATCTTTACGTATTTTTCTATGACATAAATTATGTCAGTAAATAAAAGTTCTCGGGGCAATTAAATATCATCAGGCCAAACACAAGAAAGCTCCTTTACTCAGTGCTGATTGTGTGAGGACATGCAAACAGTGGTGTAGTTGTTTATATCCTTATGTTTGCTTGTTTTCACAAATTGGATTTCAACACATGAACACCACGATTGCATTGAGACACTTTTATAAATAATAACCACTTATGAATATTCTCCCTCACTATGTCAACATATTTTTGTTCTTCTTCTTTAAGCCTGCCAAGTGAGGTCTGCACAGTGATTTCAGACGCGGACTGCATCACACCAGTGGAAACAATCTGTACTGCAGCTACTCCCTCTCCAGACTGTCAAATGATTCTTCGTCAGTTCTTCAATGACTCAGGAATATTTTGCATCAATGTCTCATTGACCAATGATGTCAGTCTTGCTGTTGCAAGTGCTAGAGTCAGTGTAATAGTAGGTGGGTGAAAGTAACATTTTCATTTATAACCACTAACATACTCAATATCTAGATTATTTTCTTATTGGTGTGATATGCTTCAATTTCAGCCTCCAGTGGTTCCCCAGCTGGAACCGCAGCCACAGTCGTGGGGGTCATGGTTCTCGCCTGTGTTGTTTGTTGTATTGGTTTGATGTACAGGTGAGGAGCTCATTTTCAACTTCATTTTTACATTTTATATGAGGTCAGCATGACTAAAAATAGAACACTTCAAAAGTTTGATAAATGAAAGATAAGCTGCAAACAAAGACACTGTAATAATGGTCAATTGGTTGTCCTGATTGCAGTGTGTAAAACAGCAAACCGTCAAAACATTTCTCAGCACAATAAGTTTCATATTTTGAACCCATTTTAAATGTTGGAAATTAAATTGTCACAGCAAAAAGAAACAGGTGATAACAGTATTGAGTGCTCACTTCAATTTGTCAGTAGCCATGTCAGTATGAATAATGTAAGAAATCTTAACAGCAAAATATTTAATAAGCAAGAGAAAGGTGTCCGGGGATAGATCCCTGTGGAACACCCAAACAAAGAAGCTCCTGATCAGCATGCTAACATGCTCACAATGTCAATGTTAGCAGGCTGATATTTTGCAGAGAATACATTTAAATATTTTACTTATAAATACAAGACGTAACACCTGGTACCGTGGACTTTATTTAAATGTAACCTTATTATAGTATATAATCCTGATGACACCTGAGAAAGTCGGGAACATGAATATATTCCCACGATTTAAACATCTTGTTGAATTGTTATGTTTTTTGATTCTTTTTGACATTTATGTCTTTATTTCAGGCCAGATCAACTATTTTGTTTCACTGGGGAAAACCACATTTGTTGTTTGTCTAGTCATGGGTGAACTCTTCTCATCAGTCTTTCTGGCCTCATGTTTCTCAACAGGCGATTCAAGCAGTACCAGCCACTCAGAGAAGACTCTGGCAGTAATGGAGGAAGCTCTGCGGTAACATCAATGCCTTTGTTGTTGTGGAACCTGTTGAGTCGTCAGTCACCAGGAGAGAGTCGTCCACTTCTTCAGGGGAGGACTGTGTGAATATTATCATCATCATCATCATCAGCTCATGCTCTTAACATCTACAGCAATGCTACAATATTGACTTTATAAACATAAAACTGTAACTATAATGATATTGTAACTCCCGGTCAATGTAGTAAACCAGAATCAATCAAATGAGCCAGCCCTGTGTGCAACAATGTGTGTAGAAATAGAAAGGAGCAACGTTTGTAATAAAGAAATGTCATAAGAATGTTGAAACATTTTTAGAGGAAAGTGATATTTATTTGGACCTACATTATTTTTTATCAATTGGCACTGATAGTTTATAGAAGCCATAACTTATTCTTTTATTTGTGGCATACTTATAGCAATTTGTAAAATCAATGTTAACATATTTCAGTTCATTTTCTTGACAATGTAATTTAAATCATTTACATCACAAAACGTTATTATATTTGTTACCCTGAAATGAATAAAGTTGAACTTTATCACCAACAAGTTTTTGTAGTCTCTCCATTCATTTGTATTCATTTGCATGTACAGTATGTTACACATGGGATGTTATGGGAACAGTTTAAGAGAAAAAGAAAGTAATTATCAATCAGCATAAATACAACACAATGGAAGGAATAATAAGAAATTGATTAATCCAGCATGCAGTATGACAGTACTGTTTTGTTTCACTCACCACTGTTGGTTTCAGCAGCAGGCAGCTGTTTTTGAGAAAATGGCTCTGACAAACTATAGTGCTTCCAGAGACAAAAATATTTCTGTTTGTCGAGAGCAAAGATAAGCTTGAAATGAGTTATAAATTGACATGCATTGATCAGATGGCGAGCAATAGAACTTAATGTGAATGTGTATATACCTTCATATCTGTTGGATGTATGGCCAACTGTTTGTTAAAATATTAAGCTTAAAAAAAGTGATACATCTTTGCACTGCCCCCAAGTGGCAAAAAACCTAATTAACAGATGCCGGTTTAACTTAATATTTAAACCAGGCTTTGAGCTTTAACCAGCATGTTAATTGTTTGGTTCAATCCTGTTTTTACCAGCTGAGGAACATTACTAAACGTGGGCCCTTTGCACAGCTAAGTTGGAAATGATGACTCTCTTTACTTATTAATTTACGTCAGTCTTCAACTGCCGTTATTATCTTTGCCCCTGCCTCAGCAAAACTTCCTTAAATCGCTACAAGATTTCCAAAATGCTGCTGCCAAACTTTTGCCCAAGCAGCGCAAGACTGATTTGTTAACATTTGCCTTTTCTTTGTTGTTTTAGAATTGTGTGCATTAGGATTGATGTCCGCATTTTCAGTCCGTTGCTTTGTCTCTTGCTT